ATAATATCAATTAATAATTTTGTCAATTTAAATAGTTTTAAATGATTAATTGTGTTAATGAATAAAAATTACAAAATTTTTCCATCTTTTCAACACAAAAATGGAATACGAATTTTAATACCTAATTTTAATGTGAAGTTTATTAACTTCGACATTTTAATTTAGACTGACATGGACATGAACTTAAATTTCAATCAAGTGAACTCTGCTTACATTCCAATTTTTTCGAAAATATATTAAGTAACAATGTTTATATAGCAATAATTGAAAAGAATTCAGAGTTCCAATTCTTTTAAATGGGAGAATTTACGTTTTCATTCAATTTCTCGATGAAGCAAAAAAAAAGTAAAAAAAATCAATTCTTCTTAATTGACTTGGCTAAAATTTATACTCTAAATTATACATATTCTTCTTAACAACTTGACGCAGTCAATTGTAAAACATAGAAATGCCTCATTTATTATCCACATATTCTAATCTTCTAAATGCGCTCCAAAATGCGATATTTAAAATTTACTCTCCAAACATTTAATTTTTTTCTATTCGTTTCCAAAAATATGAAAATAAGAAACTTCGCGCATTAAGAAAAATAACAAGCCTGAATTCTTTTCTATTGAGTTATCTCTACTGTGAATAGAAAAGAATTCATTTTTTATATATTTTGATGTTCACTGAGGTATTGAGTAAAAACGTAAATTCACCCATTCAGAAGAATTGAAAATGATCAACTTATGCTTAATATATACAAAATTTCAATCTTTCTCTATTCCTCGCTTCTTACCGGGGACGCTATAGGATCAGAAATCATAAGTAGGAGAACCCACTTGCGGTAGCCATCTTGATATTCCATCTCTCTCTTAAACATGTGTTAAAAGAGAGAAGGAATAAAAAAAGGCTATTACAAGTGGGTCGATACCAAATCGTGTACCGCAGTTCTGCGGTACCCAATACACTTTATCAAAAGTGCGCTAAAAATCTCAATTCGGAAACGGCCAAAGTGTATAATAGGGAAGTAATGGTACGGTCACAGCTCGGTTGCCTGCAGGTAAGCGAGGAAAGGGGGCGACATGATTGTGAGCTGGAAGAAAAACTGACTTTTTCTCGCTTACAATCATGTCGCCCCCTGGCCCCGTCTGCCCGCAGGCAGCCGAGCTGTGACCGCTCCGTAAGAGCCATTTCCGAATTTGGATTTTTATAGTGCATACATGGTAAAGTGTATGCATACCAGGGAAGTATATACAGTGTCCTTGTTTTTCGCACGAAAAAACAAGGATATGCATGCTTTCCTGGTATACACTTTATAGGCTGTTCCAGAATAGGTGCAAAAAGCAAGTGCAGCTACAGGGGTACGGGCTCTTATGGAGCGGTCACATGAATGTAAGCAAGAAAAAGCCAGTTTTTCTTCCGGCTCTCAATCATGTCGCCCCCTTGCCCTGTCTGCCCGCAGGCAGCCGAGCTGTGACCGTATTATTACTTCCCTATTATACACTTTGGCCGTTTCTAAATTGAGATTTTTAGCGCACATTTAATAAAGTGCATTGGGAACTGCGATACGCCATCTGGTATCGACCCTCTTGTGGTAGCCATTTTTTACTCCGTCTCTATTTTAACATATGTTCAAGAGAGAGATGAAATATCAAGATGGCTACCGCAAGTGGGTTCTCCTTCTTATAATTTCTGATTCTATAGCTTCTTTTATTCCTCCTTTTTTCTACAAAAAAATACGTGAAAATAAAATTTTTGTTTAGCCAATCACATTCACTGATATGCATTTTCACGGTCCAGAATATTTGTTCATCCTATCTAAGAAAAAGTAAAAAAGTACATGAATACTCGGGAAGTATGCCTTGTTTTTTTTCGCACGGAAAAACAAGGATACTGCATACTTCCAAAAGGCGCTTGAATACCTCACCGATCCCGAGTATACTTGCGTTGTGTACCGTTGGAGTAAAAGGAACAAAAGATATTGGGATCAGAAATCACGCGAAACTGACCCACCCCTGAGCCTTCTTGTGACAACCATCTTGGTTTTTTATCTCTTTCTTTTGTATATGTTAGAGAAACACGGAATGAAAACATGGCCACCACAACGAGGCTCTCACCAGATGGCGTATCGCAGTATTTCAGATCCCAATTTCCATCTCTTTTACTCCAATGGTACGCGACGCAAGTATACTCGGGCTCGGTGAGGCTGCAGTCCCATTATGGCGCGAATGCAGAATGCAAAGCAGAAAACCATAAGTGCAGAAGAGATAGAAATATATAGCTATGCTTTTCACGCTCATTATTTTCTGCTTTCCATTTTGCATTCGCGCCGTCCTGGGACTGAAGGCTAGGGTATACAAGCTCCTTAAGTATACACTTTATCAAGTATGCGTTAAAAATCCCAATTCGGAAACGGCCTTTATGAAGGCGGTTCTACAGTAGTTGCAAAAGATCGTTTCCGAAATTTGTATTTTTTAGAGCACTTTTGGTACAAAGGAAACTCAGGAAATTTGTTGAACAAGTGTCCTTGTTTTTCCGTGTGAAAAAAAGCACTCATGGGATTTACATTTGGACTTGCACTTGTACTTGGCTTTTGAACTTATTTTGGAACCACCTTCAATTCGAAAACGGCCATGCGGTGTCATTTTTTTGGCGCTAAAAGACAAGGACACTGCATAATTCTCGATTATAAAGGCCTTTTTCGAATATTTTCTTAAATTTTTACATTGCGTGACTGACGCGTTGGTTTGCAGGCGCAGTGACGTCATCAAAGTATTGATGCCAATCGCGAACAGAAAGTTTGGTTTATGATTTTAAAACTTTGAATTTTTTAATTATAAATATTTTGTTCATTAAGTTTTCTTTAATTCAATTAAAATTGTTAAAAGTAGTCGAGAAACACGTGCATTAAAAATTTGTAAAGTTGGAAAATATAGATAAGGTGAGAAACATAAACGAAAATTTTTGTTCGCGATTGGTATCAATGTTTGATGACGTCACTGAGCTTGCGAACCAACGCAAACATTTAGGAGTCTATTGAAGAAAGGCCTTAGACTTCATTACAAATACGCTAAAAAATTCAATTCGGAAACGGCTTCTTTGTTTTTCCGTTACTGTTTCCGAATTGGGATTGTTAGCGCATTTTTGATAAAGGCGATTCCAGAATAGGTGCAAAAGCCAAGTGTACAAGTACAAGTCCAAATGCAAATCACACAAGTGCAAGAGACAGGTAATCAATCTATTGTAGAACCTCCATCTAGTGTGCACGAAAAATACCAATTCGGAATCGGCATATCAAAAATGCGCTAAAAAAACCTCAATTCGGAAACGGCCTCAACGAAATTATTGCTTCGGTCACATAAGTAAGAGCCAATCAGAGAGTCAACAGATTTAAATTTGAATTTTCTTTCTTTCTTACTCTAATACGTTTTCAGCGTGGTGGGAGGCTGCCGAAGGTGTGACCTACCTTAAGCTATACATTTATAAACAGGTTGAGAACCTCTTCGTGATCACAGATTAGAACTCTCGTAGCCAATATCTAGAAATGAAAAGGCCTTTTGTTTTATTTTCGTATAATTATTCAAAGCTATGTTTACAACGGAAAAAAATGGGTAGCGATCGTGTAGTGCTAGCCAGTGTACATATGTATAACACTTATTGAACAGAGTTAGATAACATCTATGTTTCAGGTTATGTTTTGACGGCAATTAATATAACAAATTTCAACTATTAGCATATTTTTTTCTTGTTAAGAACTAACATTTTAAGTGGTACCTGTCATCCATGGAAGGGTCAGTTCACTGACTTTCGTCTAATAGTGGTTGAGACCAAATTTTTAAAAAATCTAGTTTTAATATATGTGAATTTCGAAACCTTAAATTTTTTAAAAACTCTATTATTATAAAAATATTAAAAATTAGATGTAGGAAATCACCAAAAACATAAATAATTTTATTCTGCACACAGGAACGAAATAATTATTACAAAAATTTATTATTTTTATATAACATATGATTGTGAAAAAAAATTTATTTTAAATATTTTCAAAATCTTTATTTACTTATAACTATTTTGTCGGTACTCCAAAAAAATTCAGGTTTTGCACATTCATTTTTAATAGTATTCTTTACCTTCCATTAAAATCTCATAAAGGTGTTTTGCTTCGTTTTGGAGATATTAATTTTCAAAAATATTTGGTAAAAATGGTTAATTGAAAGATTTGAACTTAACTGACCAATTTCAATTCGCTACATTTTAATATATTTTTATAAAAAAGTCAAATCTTGTAATTAACATTAGAAACATTCCTGAAATGCGTTTTCAAAAAATTTATTTTTTAAATTATTTATTAAGAATTGAATAATTTGTTACCTTTCCACTAAATTTGCAATTACTCTGTTGCTTGTTAATGAAATTTAATAAAATTTGGTTCGTATATAGAAAAATTATGTCTCTTTGAAATGCAATAGAAATTTCAGTTAACCTTTATTGTGTTTATGCGAAAAAAATTGTTTATTTAATAAACAAATTGATATTTAAGCTATTTCTCATATGTTTAGGAAAAAATTTCAAAAACGACATAAATCTACACTTTCTCAACTTTAATTTAAAAAAATCTTAGTACTTTTAAAAAATGAGTGAATTACGCGAATTTGAAGAGCAACATTCCAATGTAAAATTTTATCTAGTGATACTAATTCTTTTACTTGTAAAGTAATTCAATGAATATTTTAAACCACTTTATAGTCATCGAAAAAGCAGAGGTCGCAGAATTTCTGACAGTACTGTATATCAAGATTAAGATGGGTGCCGAGAGATTTTTAGTTGCAGGACGTACTTGTCTTCCTTTAATATTTATTTCGTTCTTAAAATCGGAAAAACATTCGAATAAGGGTTCACCGTGAACTAAATATGTAAAATCATTATAAAAGATGTGTTTTACCGAACATGACACAAGAATATAATCAGTTATCTTACCATTTTTTTAATAGAAACACAATTCTTTTACATTTCAGGTTACAAGTATTACGCCTACACGTTTACAAGTAATAAAATTAAAAATTATATCAACTGAAGAGTGCAAATTACAAATAAATAATGTGAAAAATTCTCACATATGCACTTTAAATAAAGAAGGACAAGGTGCTTGTTTTGTAAGTAATTGAAATTTTTAAATATTTTTATAATTCATATTACAATATATTACTAAATATCCCAATGATCAAAGGAGCGTCATAAAGACGTCTAAAAGAAGTCTTTATATTGTCCGCGAACATCCGGGAACAATAATAGTAAAGTCTCGGAGACAACTAATAGACGTTCATAAAAGGTTCTATGTCTAGTCCAAAAGATGGCCGAAAAACGTCTAACAAGTGGATGTCACGGGATGTTTTTCTAAAAAAAAATTTTGTTTGACATGTTGTAGGGTCATATGAAAGAACTTTTTTCACAAAATGCTAACGCGCACTAGGCTAAACCAATGGAGAAAATCGAAGATTCTCGTATTTTCACGTTTTTCATGAACTTTGTGCAACGGATATTTCTCTAGGCATTCGAATTCAATTACGAGATTCCCATTTTGTCACATGTACTTTTTTATAGTGTTTTCATACATATTTAAATAATTTTAGAGAATTTAAAAATAGTTTTTTGTAGGGGAAGGTATGGGAATTGGAGACCCTTAAAGGACAATGATTAAAAAAACAACTTATTGTTATAAGAGAATATTGTTTTGGTCTTTTTTTACTCCTTTTGTTATTTATCTTTAATTATAATTAATTAAAAATTAAGAACAAAAAAGTAAGATTGCAAAAAAAATGTTTTCTAAAAAACTGAATTTTCTCCATTAATATTAATTGTAAAAATTACAAATGTTGACATTAATCAATAACTAACTTTTCTGTTACTTTTAATTTTTTATCAAATTTACAATTAAAAACTAAATATAAACTAACTAAACCACAATTTAAACAATTATCTCCTACAAAACTAAATTAATATGATTTCTATTTTTACTAATGAATTGACTTTAGAAGTCAATTATAATTTATAATATAATGTTAAAATGGATCGTTTTTAAATTAAAACCTGTTTAAATAAAATTCAAAAAACACAAAAAACTATTATTAAATTCTCTAAAATTATTTAAATATAACCGTTGCACAAAATGTGTCCTCCCTTTGTATGATGAATTTTAGAGAAATCACCTGATTGGGAACTTTTGGGGTGGGAAGCGTTAAAGTATTTTGCCCCATATATGAAAATCTAACATTGTATTCGTAATCAGCGACCCCAAAAACCCCCTAATATAAAGTTTGAAGCAAATCCGTACTGTGGATTTTCTAAGACTTGAAAGGGTATATGAAACGACTGGTTCGCGTCAATACCACGCTGGGCACGGAAAAATTTGACGCGTCAAGGACATAGAAAGGGAAGCCTAACAGACGTCTTCTGGACGTCCTTTTAATATCCCTTCAGATCTTATTAAATTGACATTTCTTTCACAATATTTTCTAAACTGAAATACAGTAATACTCCATTAAATTTATTTTAAGTTTAATTTTATATTTTTAAAATTATACAGAATTAATGAAAAAATGTCTACGAAGCTGTCTATGAATGAAATGAAATCGATGACTTTATAGTGTTCGACGATAAATATTTTAACGAACCAAATATTATTTTATATCCGTTTAGTTGACTTTTATTATTATCGAGTTTCCTCCGATTTCATTCTCCTTTATTATTACTAAGATAGGTTATATTTTAATTCTTCATGATATTTAAATCAACACGGGCTACCAACTAGATGGCACGCACGATCGTAGTCCAGCTGACGACGGACCGCATGGTCTGAAGCAGACTGTTGCGAGCGTCGATATACAACACATCTTTTCTCGCGATTATAAAACATATATATATGTACAAGATATGTTGTAATCGCGATACATCTTTTTTTGTTAAGAGACTTTTTAATGCGAATAACAAATTCTTCTCACTTCCTACTTCTCACTTCACACTTCTTACTTCCCACTTTCCACTCCTCATTTCTCACTTCTCATTTCCCACTTCTCACATCCATGTTTTCACATTCCACTTCTTACAAGTGGGAAGTGAGAAGTGGAAAGTGAGGAGTAGGATGTAAAAAATGGGAAGTAAGAAATTAAAAGTATGAAAAAAAATTTGGTCGCAGTCTAATGTGCTACCCCTTCCGAGTCCTATCCACGTCCATATAAATTATTAAAATTTTAAATCTCGGGAAAGGGCTGTCACATGGCGCCCAACGTATGTTAAAACTTTTTTTCACACTGAACCTGTACCATAATGGTGCTTTCAACAGATTTATAACACCCAACGCGTTATTTCTATAAAAATTAACTAATTTATATAAAATTGTTTTTCTCTTTTACGCGACTATTCTTGCCGGAAAATTCCACAGGTTTCCAAAATGGCGTCACCACGTGGCCTTTTTCAAATCAAGAACTTCGTATTAATTTTGGTGTTTTTTCGCGATAAATATTCGAAAATTAAATTCGTAATTTTCTAAAAAAATTAAATATTTTTCTCGCAATTAACCCAAAATAAAAGAATCGATCTTGCAAAAAGCTCTCTCTCAAAATATGTGAACGATCCTGCTATTCTATTAATGTAATTTCACGATCCCATCTCTCTCACATTCATGCTTTTTAAAATGCTGCGTAAATTATAATAAAATGAAATTGCGCTTATTATTACAAAAAAAATACATTGTACTTGCGCTTATTATCGCATCAACTATAAAATTATTTTCTTTCGCGCATGAATTTTTGCTTCTGCTTCGCTAAAAAAAAAGAAATATATATAATTTTGTTTTTCATGCTTCTTCTATGTAAAAATATTTTTTCTGTCAACTATTACATAAACATTGCGAATAATTCATTAACATGTTAAATTACATTAAGGGGTTAAACCACTCTAGAGCGTCAAAAAAAGGCCTAACTTTAGAAATTTTTTTCAAGAAAAGTTTAAATGTACTGAAAAATATGTTTACATATCTTTATTAGGTACACTTTAAAGAGAAAAAAAATATACTTCATTAATTATTTTTTTTTTAAATATCAAATTTACAGGTGCGTGATAGGAACCCTTTCTGAGAGGAATCACGTCGCGGCCGGAAAGGTTTTAGCTCCAATTTTCATCCTAGAACAAAAAACAAATTTCATTCTATTTTTACATCTTAAAAGCTAGAGAAAGACGTAGGGGATTTTTTTTCAATTGATTTTTGCAAAAATGGCGAACATTTTAAGGAAAAACCGAGTTTTTTACTTAAAAAATTGACACTAAATTGTTTATAACAAAAAAAATATGCAACATAAAAAAAAATCCGTACGTCTTTCTCTAGATAATGTTATTGAGAAGCTACAGTTTAATTTTTAAGTAAATCGGTTGAGATTTGTAAAAGTCATGTTTCCGGCCAGCACAAAAAATGTAGTTTTGAGAAAAACGAGTTTAAAGTTTTACTTACGACTTTTTGGATATACCTTCAATCTGCAATGCCTGCGCCGTATAATTGACCTTCCAAATTAATATTATCTTGTTCTTCTTCTTTTCTAATGGATATTTTCAACCGAGAAACATTAAAATCGGTTAAGATTTGTTGGTTTTAACTGATTTTGAACAGAAAATTGCAGATTCAGACAACTAAGTGCCAACGCGCGCAGTACAGGACCACGATCGGGCCCAAGTTCAATCACTTAAAAAGTGTTTCGACTTATAATTGATATTGTTTCTTATTCTATACATCCTTAGGCATCTTTTAAAGCAAAAAAATTTTTTTTGATTTTTTGAAAATTCTAGAGTGGTTTAACCCCTTAACCATGAGTGACAAAATTTTATTAATTGAGAATCAATTAAAGTGGCCAAATTTCCTTCTGCCAGAATAGAACGAGTCAGCTACAGGCTCAATCGCGGTAATCAAAACACAGCTGTGTTTACTTTTACAACTCGACTCTGTCTTTTGGTCACTTATCAATTTCAAACGAAATTATACTCCATACAAAATTTTGCTTTTTAAATTAATATTTGAACTAGCTAAAAGAATCGCGCTTAAACGCGCGTGGTATCTATAATTTTTTATGAAAAATTAAAAATTTATTTTTATTTGACGGACACTTATTGGAATTTTGATCTCACAAAAATAATAATATTATTTTTGTAATCGTTACTGTATTACTATTTCAACATTATGGTGTTATAATAATATAATACCTATTATTGCACAGTCAATATGACCTTTAAATTTTGTACTTAAATAAGGATTATATGCTACGATCATCGAATTGTCAGCAATACATTTAAATGACCCATATCAGGATCCATGCAGGATGAATTCCTATTTTGTTTACTACAAGGCCCATGAACTTAAAATCGCTTTACAATGATAAAAAGATCTGGATTCTTTAATTCGTCTGTGATTTCAGCACATATAATTTTATTTAAAGTTTCTGAATCGTAAATTTTTGTACGTAAAAATATAATTAAATGCACATGTGGCAATCTCCGCTTTTTTCTTCTCTATGAAAGACGATACATATAAAATTGTAAATGAATAAAATTATAAGTACCTTGAGTATGGTTAAGGTTAACAGTCCATCCAGGATCACTTTAAGGAAACATTGTAGGATATGTCATGGGATCAAAATTTTCACTAACAATAAGACTAGAAATTATTTGCTCATTATTATCTGTTGTCCATACTGAATTTACATGAACATGTAAATCCCTCCTCAATTTCTGTAGATAATTTCCTTATCTTACATGACAAATTTTTTTCTTGGGTATTTTCTTTTCATTCTCAGTTTCAGTCGACAGAACTCTGTTGTCATTTTTCCTGTCAAAAGTCTTACAAAAATATGAAAGGTTTAGTCCACCATTTTGAAGTTCTTTAGGTCGATTTATGAAAAGACAATTTCAATCATTCTCTACAAATCGAAATCCTAATATTAGACATTCTAATTGCCGGAAAATGATTTAATTAATTGTTTTTAAAAAATTATATCAAATGCTTGCTCATTATATTATTATCAGTTTCATAAATTAATGTTCTAATTTACACAGTTAACCAATACAGATGTTGCAAATGCTATTTCATATACTTCACACTTAATTGTACCAA